GCTTCCTCGGCCTGTGCCCAAGTCACCCAGTGGAAGCTCAGATCCTGTGATTCCTCTGGACTCCCCTTCCTGAGATGCCCCACGGTGCCCAGGGCCACGTGCGTTCTCTCTGGCTACGGGGAGTCAGCGCCCTGGCTGTTCATCTGAGGGTGTGCACTTGGGACACTGCCACCACCGCCCGCCGCCCGCACCTGCTTCGGCCTCCTGCACTGGTGACGGTCCCTCTTCTGAGAATGCCATCCTCCCTCTCCTCACGTCTTCAGAGAGTCCCCGGCCCGATCGTCCCCTCGCTGCTCCCCAGCCTCCTCCCGTGTTTGCGGGTTTCTTGTCTGTGTTTCCTGCTGCCCATACACCAGGGCCCAGGGCCCAGCTCTGTCTCGTTCACGGCTGTCCCAGGGCCCGGGGAGCAGCAGGTATGCAGGTGCCTGTAAGCCTGGGACCCACGCCCTGCATGCCCTCCACTGTGCTCCTCCAGGAAGTAGGGCCGCCCCCCAGAAGGGGTCAAGGGCCCCTCCAGAACCTCTGGTTCTCCGGCCAGTGAATTCCAGCCTGAGAAGGGAGCTGCCCCTGCCCATCCCATATCTGCATCCCAGCCAGCCAGAGGCCGCCTCTTCAGAAGAGGGGAGGAGCCTGTTTACCTAACAGACAGCTCCCAGACTCACTGCCAAGTGATGGGGACAAAAGCCACCCCCTGGGCCCCAGGGGCTCTCCCCAGGATGAGGCGTGGCTACCTCTGCTTCCAGATCAAGGGGCTGGGGCTCTCACCTCCCCCAGCTCCTCCTGGGCCTGCTGCACATAGGTGGTCCCTCTCTGTGCCGGGGCCCCCGGGGTCTCCGACTGGTCGCTGCCGCTCTCGTTCTTCCGGCTGTGGTCCTGGGTCTCGGCATCTGACTCCTCAGGGTTCTCTCTCTCTGATTTGTCTGAGAATGCGTCGTTCTCCAGGGAAGACCCGTTCAGTCTGGAAGGTGGATGGTGCCAGTGGGTCCCTGTCAAGGGTGACACCCTGCCATACCCCTCTGGGCCTCCCAGCCCACGATGCTGGGCGCTTCCCCTGCGTTCCGGCCTGTCATAACCTCCACAACCCACGTTTGACACGATTAGCCCCATTTTATAGAGGAAGGAGCCGAGGCTCTAGGGTACGCTGCAATGAACGCGCCCCTGCCTGCAGCCCTGCAGCCCACCAGAGTGGAGGCTGGGCTGTCCTCTGCCCGTCTTCCTCACCTGCAAGGAGACCCCATGAGTCACCACCCCCTGTGCCCTCGCCTCGCTCACGGGAACAGGTCTTGGTCTGGGTGGACGGTGACCGAGGCTGGCAGCCCACACAGCGATGAGGGTGATGCGTCTGGCGACGTCCCCGGCTCCCCGTCTCGGCCCGGCTTGCAGGTGCCCAGTCTCAGCAGGCTAGAGCAGCGCAGGGCCAGCTCCAGGGCGTCCAGCCAACAGCGGCCTGCGGGGGACACGGGGTGAGCAGGCCCCACCCACCTCTCTACGTCCCCCACACCCAAGGAGTCACCGGGAGGCTCCCCTCACTCTGACCGTTCAGGGACCCACCCCCTCCACCCCAGACCCAGCAGGGACTGGGTCCCTGGGTCCCCTCCCTTCCTGCACCCGCATCCAGCTGCAGATTGTGTGGGTGTGGACATGGGAGCCCCTGGGGACTGAGGACTTCCCGAGCAGGCAGGTGCAGCCTGGGGACAGCTGTGCTGGGGAGGCAGTCCTGCAGAGGCGCCTGGGGATGCTCACAGCACAGCCTCACCCACCTCCACCACCCACATGGCTGCTGAGGGGCCAGCGTGGTAAGTGACCCCTCCAGGTCACACTGGAGCCACCCTCAGGTTTCTGCAGGTGTAGTCAGGGAGGAGGGTCCTCCCTCACTGGGAAGCAGAGGCCGGGGTGCTGGGAGCTCCTGAGAGCCTGGAGTCAAGGCAGAAGTGTGGGGAGGGCTGAGGAGGGGCTTGCACACCAGGGAGGAGCCCTGCCTGAGGCTGCCCAGAGGGTCTGTGGACAGCGGTGGGGGCAGAGGCCAGTCGACAGCTGGCCTCCTCCAAGCCCTGCTCTGGGCCCTGAGCCCTGCTGCCTTCCTGGGGAGGGTGACAGCAGCACTCAAGGGTCTTCCTGTGGGGCATGTGTCCACCTGGGTGACACCTATGTCCTGGTGTGTTCACTAACAGCAGTCCCCACACTCACAAGAGCATCTTGCAGTGGCTTGTGACAAGTCACACTATTAATAAGTGTGGGTTTTTTCTGGTTTTGTTTTGAGATGGAGTCTCATTCTGGCACCCAGGCTGTAGTGCTGTGGGGCTGTCTCAGCTCGCTGCAACCTCCACCTACTGGGTTCAAGCGATTCTCCTGCCTCAGCCTCCCCAGTAGCTGGGATTACAGGTGCCTGCAATTTTTTGTCTTTTTAGTAGAGACAGGGTTTCAGCATGTTGGCCAGGCTGGTCTCAACCTCTGGGCCTCAAGTGTTCTGCCCGCCTCGGCCTCCCAGTGTTCTGGGATTACAGGATTGCGAGCCACCGTGCCTGGCCTCTGGGTCATGCTAGGTGGGAGCATTGGGGGCGGGTCTGTGCCTCTCCGAGCCTCTGCCTTTCGGAGCTCCTGGAGACGGTGAGTTTCCCTCCCTCACTTTCAGATCCATGAAATCCTGCTCTCCCTGGAGTGTCCCTAGGGTCCAGTGTGCGGAGGGGCGCACCTAGACAGTGGCTCCTGGGTCTCTAGAGCTGGCCTTTTCGTTGGGGTGGGGAGATATCTGGGATCCTGCTGGTTCCCTTGCAGGCTTGGTTGGTGCCAGAGTGGTCAAGCCTGGGCTGAACACTGGGGTGGGGGCTGGGGCAGGGAGCTGGAGAGGTCACAACGGCCAAGTTGGCCAAACACATGGGCTTTGTGGTTGCCACAGGACTAGACATCCTGAATGTTATGCATCTCCTTTGAAGCTCATTCCAAGGCCTCTTCCTCCTCTTCCTGGAAGCCCACCCTGATACCCACAGGGGCTGTGGACATCCTTCCTCCTGAATGGCGGCCCCCATCCTATCGGGGGCTCAGCTCACGCCTCAGCCCGACCTGCCTTATCTGATGGTTGGTTATCCACCTCACCCATGACCACAGAGGCTGTGGGCTGCCCTGTCCATCTGGGGGCCTTTGTAGGGGACTCAGGATGGCCTGGGAGGGAGCACAGATGTGGCATTTGACCACGAGGGTGATGTGGCACCACAACTCCAAGCTGAGAGGCACCCGAGGCTGAGGCCAGGCTGCCTTAGGTCTGCGTCGCTGGTGGGATGGGAGCCCCTCATCCTGCGGCTCTGGGAAGCACCACCCTGGGGTTAGAGGAGGTACAGCCACCGTTTACCCAGAGCAGCCACTGGAGGGCGCAGTGGGGCCGGGCTCCAGCCCCAGGTTATCGCGAGGCCCCGGGGAGAGGGAATCACTCGAGGTGCGGGATCCCCACGGCCACAGCTGCCTGAGCCACCACGCGGCACACCCCAACAGCGTGGAATGCAGTTGGGAGTCAGGGAAATTCACATTCACGTCCAGGCTCTAGCACTTTCTTGCTGGCGGTTTGCCTGTGCCTCAGTTTCCTCATCTGCCTCATGTAGATGGTAACAGTAGAACCTGTTGCTTCAATGGTGCCTGGTGTGGAAGGAAAATCTTGGGCCCCTCAAATCACTAAGCCAAAAGGAAAACTCAAGCTGGGTTGGCGTGGGGCCAGCCTGCCTCCCATTTCGTTCAGTCACCCCTCTGCTGAGATAGACGCGTATCTGATTGCCTCCTTTGGAGACACTAGCCAGAAATGCAAAAGAATGCAACCATTTGTCCCTCATCTACCCGTGACCAGAAGCTGCCCTCCCTGCCTGATGTTTGCCCCTTTCCGGACCAAACCAACGTTCATCTTACATGTGTTGGCTAATGTCTCCTGTCTCCCTAAAATGTATAAAATCGAACTGTGCTCCGACCTCCTGAGGCTGCGTCACGGGCGCGTCCTCAACCTTGGCAATGTAAACTTTCTCCATTAACTGAGACCTGTGTTAGATATTCGGGGTTTACATTTTGGTGACCACTGAGGGGTTCTGAGTGGAGGTGCCCCGGATGGTTGAGAAGTCTCCCACTGGCGCGTGGTACCAGCTTGAACTAACTTTATGGCTCGAACCAAAAAGACCATTTGCTGAGGCCTGGAAGCACCCCCTCCAGAGAATCCCTGATCTCCCAAAATCCAGTTGACAGCTGAAGCTTATTTTCCTGTACAACTGCTCCTTTTGGAGTCTTGCTTGCTTCCAACACAAGGCAGCAAGTTTTTCCTGCTTCCATGATGATGGAACACAGGTAACTCCTTTATGGAGTTTGAGCTGGCTTCCAACAGGGAAGAGGAAGCGTTTTTTTCTTTTCCTGCTTCTAGGATGGTGGAGAGTAGTTTTCAGCCTGAGACCCATCCCTAGGTTCGTAACTGAATTGCGGTTTGTCTCGGCTAAACTTAAGATTAAGATCCAGCTGGTCGTCATTTCCCCTGACCATCAGAGCGCTCAGCAATCGTCTAAGTTATGCGATTGTTTTGCTTAACTGGTTTTTTTTTTTTTTTTTTTGATTGTTTCTGTTTTTGTTGTTTTGGTCTTTTTCCCATTGAACTCTCTCTGACTTGGTCAAATCTGAAGGAAGTTCCAAATTATGGGGAACAAGGCCTCTGAAGTGGCTAAATTCCCTGATGGGAGGAGAAAAATGGCCAGCGAAAGGAAAAAAGAGGAAAGATTTGGATTTTGACTACCAGGGGGCTTTATTTATATAACATGGCCACATTTTCACTAGCCAGGCCAAACTGCAAGAGTAATGACTGTACTTCTGAAACAGTAGCGATTTGTCCTAGTTGAAATACGGAATGAGATTTAAAAATACATTTTTAAATCAATGGTTAAAAGTCAGCTTAATTAAAAGCTAACATCCAAGGTGTGTGTGTGTGCGTGCGTGCATATATATGTGTTTACATTTAAAAGGCCTTCGTGTTTTGTTTTTGGTTTTCTCCTAGGACCTTGTCTTTTTCTGAGCAAAAGTTTTTTTCTTCTCAGTTGACTGAATTCTGTTTCTTCATTTACTTTTGCTGTCTTCCCTTTCTCTTGCGCCCTCTGCTGCATGGGGGAACTAAAATAATTTATAACAGCCTGGGGTTCCTTTAAGAAAATGGAGAAGGCACCAGACTCTTTTCGGGGGAGAAAGTTGTTTCTTCTTATGAAACCCCAAGAATGTAAACAGACAAGTTCATCTCAGCAATTAAATTGCTTACTTTTGTAGTGTGCTACCCGTTTGTTTGTTTGTTTGACTAAAATAGTTATTGCAACAGAGGTTACTCGTGGGTTTTTAAGGAAGAGTGTGGTTTAGACACTTAGAAATGTCTTTGTTTAAAAAAAAATTTTTAAGTGCACTGTAATAGCATCATGTGTCTAACCTCATAATAATTCTCATTTTTGGAGACCCACGATTCCCTGTGGGCTCTTCCCAGAGCTCAGAGATCCAGTTAAAAGATAGGAAGTCCCTGGCTAAATAAAACTGGTCTCCTTATGCAAGCCTATGATAGATTTCTGTAATTTTGTTTGACTTGGCATCCATCTTTAGTCTCCTTCTAGCACCACCAGACTTCTTCTCTCTGTACCTAATAATGATACAAATTTTGCTACTTGATTTTCACCTGTGTTGTTTCCTTTCGTATGCAAATTTAAAGATCTTTAGGTGACAACTCCCTATCTTGATAACCTGAAACAGGTTATCAAGAATCTGAAAGTCTAAGATAGGAAAAAAAAGTTTTTATAAACCTATGAGATGTACCTCTATTGGCATAACTAATATATCTATGTACTTATGTGTTGTGTACGCAATGTTTCACTACTGAAAATATATAAAAGGGCTCTTATTGGCTTGAATCAATTATTAGATAAGAAACACACTTGAATCAAATATGTTATCGGTGGAAAAAAGATGAGTTAAATGCTTTTTCAAGCTTATGTAACTTAAGTAAAATCTTTAATAAATAAGCTAGCTTTAAAATTATTGGCAAAGTAATATTAGAAATGTCTTAAGAATTTCCAGCATACATTTTGTTTGCATTTATTAATCAAGCAATTTCACACTTATCCCTGACAAATACCATAAGGTGTCAAAATTTGGCATAGGGGTTATGAAACTATAAACCCAGCCCAAGATGGAATGATCTTTGCTTGCATAATCTTTAATAAGTAAGGCATTAATATTGGTTTAATAAAAATAGCTACCCCTTAAATTTAGTAAGATTATCATAACTTCTAATCTGGTAGCTTTAGGTGGTCTAGTCCACAGGCAGTAAGGTTTATTTTATAAACTGTTATAGTCTTTGTTTCAGCTAAACTATAAACTAAGTTTCTCCCAAAGTTAGTTCGACCATTGCCCAGGAATGAACAAGGTTAGCTTGGAGGTTAGAAGCAAGATTGCATCAGTTAGGTCAATCTTTTTCACTGTCTCAGTTATAATTTTGCAATGGTGGTTCCATAACTTTAAATAATGACAATTGCAGTTTTTATAAATAATCTAGGTAAATGTTTAAAATAATTGGGTAAATGTAATAGGATAAATACTTGTAGACAAACTCATCATAATTTAGAATCTAAAGTTATGTTAAATAACAGATATTTCACTGTTTGAATATTTTCCAATAAAAATATATTTGTAGGGAAATATTCTTTCTGAAAACAAAAGCGTGTCCTTTTTAAAAAGGTGAACAATTTTTGTCTAATTCAAAGCTTAAAGGTCACGTATAAAACAAGGTAAAAAGAACCAGGAAATAAGAGTAAAAGAGGTGTAAAGAAGGCTTTTGTTTTTGTTTTTTTGATAAGAAAGCTTAAAGAGAAATAATTTCATATGAGAAAGAATCTGGTATGGTAAATTTAGTCCTAGAGTAAAATGACTGGTTGTTTATGAAAGAGGGAGGCTCAGGACAAACAAGAAGGCCCAAGCATGTCATGAATGGTCTGTGTAAGTCACAATAAGAGGGTCTGTTTTTAAAAAAAACAAAACACCAAAACCTTTTATATGATCAAGTTGTCTATGATTAAATGGAAATTATAGTGGTCTTTAGAGGTATTGGGTTTGATGTAAAAAAACAAACACTTATACACTAAAGAATTGGTTAGAACAATGACATTGTCCTAACGGGCTGATTTACTCTTAATCGATTATAAGAGATTTTAATTTTTTAATTTTAACTCAAAGTTCAACTTTTATTGCCTCTCACCAGTTTCAGTTTTCTTTTCCCTTTTAAAAGGCATGCAATAGTAACACTCCCCTTCAACTTACTTTCAGCTTATATTAAGCTCTGTTTTCCTCCTCAGGTTCTGTTTCCTTTTGTGGCCCGATACTAACAACGTTTTCTTAAAGAAAATGTTTTCTTCTAACATGATATTCTATGCATTGCAGAAGATACTTTCTTTTGCCTTTTGATAACTGGCCTAACAGATTTTATATTTTATTGAAATAATTCCTATGCCGTTATTATTAAGTTTGTTTTGCTTAGGAAAAACTGAGATTAATTTTTTTTTTAATTAAAGTTATTACATCCTTGTATCTTCCCAAAGGTGCTTTTAAAGTCCTTGCAACATTGAGTTACAGGAATTTGACTCCTGGGTCTAAAATGAACACCAAGTCCTGCTAAATCTTAAACATTGACAGCAATTAAAGCCTCATCTTCAGGCCCAGTAGAAGATGCCAATCAAAATAAATTGCATTCCTGAGGCACAGGGCCAGAAATTAAAGCTATTCAACTCCTCAAGGTCCAGGGACTATCCCAAAAGAGATAGGCATGTGAGATTATAAGAGCCAACTTTGAGAGATAAAATAAATTCAGTTTCTCTGTAAATTAATCATTAATGTCAAAGTCACACTGATGAAAATATGGGCCTCTGTGTCAGATTAACAAGGTTTTCTTGAAACAATAACTGACTCCTTATTAAAGGTTATAAAGGCTTATGGAAGTTATATCTTATGATCAGGATGAAAATTTTATAGATTGTAATTTTGGAAAACAGATCTAATTGGCTTCATGATGTTATTAGGGCTTATTGTTTGGAAAATTAAGTTTCCTGTCTCAAAGAATGAAGGTGTTTGATGTTTTTTTTTTGAAAGCCTTATCACTTTGGTCAAATGAATGACTTATTTTACAATGATCTGTAATCCTATTTTATATCAAGTGTTTTAAACCTTTGATATTTAACAAACTTTCCAAAATCAAATTATAAACTATGTCTTTTTCTAACCTAATCCTTTAAGATATTATTAATAGGTTCCCTAAAGTCCAAAAATGACATATTTGGCTTATTTGGTACAAAAATTACACAGGAAGCATTATCAAATATAAAATGGTGCTTGGTTTTCTTTGGGGTGTATTTGTATAAATATGTCATTTATATGTATTCCAAAATTATGGGAAATTCCTGTAATTCTGATATGACTTAATGAACATTATCAGTAATGATCATAATTGTTATGTTAAATTATTTTGTGCCAGAGGAAGCAAATTTCCTTGTCAATTGTGTCTTTGACTATGGGTGCCCTAAAACTTTTTGTCATCTACAGACAATTATTGTCTTGTTTTGGTCTTCTTTAGAAGGTGGTTTTATAATCAGCTATTAAACTCTAACAGGTGCTCTTGAATGCTGGTTTCTAATAACTTTATAGACTGTGACATCAGAATAGAGGAAAAACTTTCAGGACTCATGGAGAGCTGAAATGTTCATGAATATCAAGCAGAACAGGAATTAACTGCATGGACTAAACTAATAGAAATGTGAAGTAATCTTTTTGACTTTTTGCTTAAAACATTGCTGATACTTTGTTTTGTTTTTCAGAGTCAAGAAAACTTTAAGGTATTTACAGTTTTTAACAATTGAGTAAAGTATACTTCTATGGAAAAAAATTGGAGCACATTTGTTTCTCTCTACCTGATTTCTACAGAATTTGGAAACTATTTGAGAGTATTCCTGACTTATGACAATACAGTTATTTGCGTAAGTGCAATAAGAATCTGTTTTCATGGCTGGGCGTGGTGGCTCACGCCTGTAATCCCAGCACTTTGGGAGGCTGAGGTGGGTGGATCACGAGTTCAGGAGATCGAGACCATCCTGGCCAACATGGTGAAACCCGTCTCTACTAAAAAATACAAAACTTAGCTGGGCGTGGTGGTGCGTGCCTGTAGTCCCAGCTACTTGGGAGGCTGAGGCAGGAGAATTGCTTGAACCTGGGAAGTAGAGGTTGCAGTGAACTGAAATCACGCCACTGCACTCCAGCCTGGCACCTGGCAAGAGAGAGACACTCTGTCTCAAAAAAAAAAAAATCTGTTTTCATTTGTTACAGGACACAATTGGAGAAATTGGTTATTTTACTAAGGCTTTGACTGGAATGATGTGCTTTCCTTTAAGGACTCAAATGTGACTTATAGAGCCAATGAAAGCCCCCTGGAAAAACTGGCCTCATACTTTTGTCTACACAGTCCATGTACAGGACTCTTGACCTGTGTAAGTAAAGAGTGTCACTTTCTGACAGGCCCAGGACCTCCAAATTTATCTTCAAACCTCAAAAAGACAATAATTCACCCAACTTATAGGCATTCAATGGTACAAATCCATGACTGGATTCAGCTTTACAAAAGTCTTATCTGAGATTCCTTCTATGAAACAAAGTTCCATCAAAGCCAATTAAAAAGCCTATGTAAAAAAATAATTATTCTTGGTGCACTGTATATAATTAGGCCAAGTATAATAAAGCAAACGAGTCCTACCATGATTCCTCCTTAGTTAAAATGGGAAGCTGGATAGAAAAACTATGTTTCAAAAACTACAGTACAGCTGTTGTTAGATTCTTGTCTTGCCTGTTTTTCAATTTTTGTTATTTTCTACAGTTTGGATGAAATTCTAATTTTTGTTGGCTACAAGTCTTCAAACTAATGTTTTCAATTTTTTTTCCTTCTTTTTTTTCCTACTTTTCCTAATTTGGAGTCACTGAAGATTAAGCTGTGCTTTCATAAACCCTGTGAACTGAAGCTAGACAACTTAAACTTCAGAAGAAAAGAACAGCAACCTATTTACATACACACACCACTTTCATACCTGCCTACTGATGTACGGACTTCAGAGTAATGTGGCCTATATTCATTTCCCAGAATTGTTCTTTTGTTTGTTGTTGTTTTTCTTCCTCCCTCCCCTACTGTCTCTTCACAGGACATGAGATTTCACAAACCTTCTAAAAATGAGCTTTCCTAATAACTTGGGACCCACCTGTCTATGAATAAACCATCCTAGCCACGAGAGATCAGATGGAACCTGATACCAGAGACTCGTTCTCTTCTAAAATGCTTTCTCCAAAAGATTTTAAAAAAGAAAAAGGGGGGAAATATGAAAGAAAAATATCTTGGGCCCCCAAAATCACTAAGCTTAAAAGGGAAAAGTCAAGCTGGTAACTGCTTAGGGCAAACCTGCCTCCCACTCTATGCAAAGTCACCCCTCTACCCACTGAGATAAATGCATGTCTGATTGCCTCCTATGGAAAGGCTCATCCGAAACCCAAAGGAATGCAACCATTTGTCTCTTATCTCCCTATGACCTGGAAGCCCCTCCCCACTTTGATTGTCCTGCCTTTCCTGTCCAAACCAATATTCATCTTGCATGTGTTGATTGATGTCTCCTGTCTCCCTAAAATGTGTCAAAACAAACTCTGCTCTGACCACCTTGGACACACATGGTCAGGACCTCCTGAAGCCACGTCACAGGCGTGTCCTCAACCTTGGCAAAATCAATGTTCTAAATTAACTGAGACCTGTCTCAGATGTTTGGGGTTCACTCTGGCGTGTGGCTGGAGCTCAGTAATTGTTATATGGGTGCATTTATAAGGTCATTGGGTTCTCACAACATCGGGGCCACAGGTGGTAATTTCATGCCACATTTTACCATGGGGAAACTGAGGCTAGGAGTGGGGGCTCCGTGAGTGCAGGCCTGCCTGGCTCTGAGCTGCGCTTATCCCAGCCAGACTTCAGGCTGGCCCCAGGCAGCAGAAGGGACTGGACTGGGGCCATCTGTACCTGAGCTACAACCTCAAAAGGGGGCCATTTCAGGTGGGGACTCACCATCTGACTCGGAGGCGGCCCTGAAGATCAGGTAGCTGCTGGGCAGGGGTTGTGTGATGGAGCCCACGCTCTCGCCTTTGGGGCCCTGGAGAGACAGAGATCAGGGTGTCACCCAAGGCAGCACCCAGGGCCAGCTGCATAGACAGGTCAGGCAGAACCATGCGAACCCACACCCAGGCCCACCTGGACACCCCCAGGGTCATGGGGCCACCAGGTGGGGCCAGGCACCTGGCCAGGTGGACACCTGGCTGCAGAGAGGCAGGGAGGTGGGGGTGCTCTGCCCTCAGCTTTTCAGCTCTGAGCCTCCTGACTTGGGGTGGCCAGAATCAGCAAATGCACACCCAGGATGCCCAGTAACATTTGAATCCCAGAGAAACCACCAGTAGCTTGTTGATGTTAAGTTTTCCCATGCACAGCTGGGGTCATAGTTGTGTGAAAGAACCCTGATGTTTCTCTGAAATCCAATGTAACCAGGTGCTCGGGTTTCTCTGGCTTCCTACCCCAGTTAGACTTGGCAGGGCTGCCCCAGCTTAGGAGGGGTGAGGGCCGGGCGCTGTTCCTCAGCCACCCCTGG